CAAGGATGGTGAAGCTTCATTTCACACACTTTGGGCATGTGAAATGTTAGGAAAAGACAGTCCTTGGAAAAAAGCATCATGCTTAGAAAGATGGAGGATCAGTAACAGAGAGGAAGGAAGACCCTCCACAAGATGGATTTACACAGAGACTCTAACAGTGGACTCAAGTATATCAGAGGTGGCACAGAACAGGGCAGGATTCAGATGTATTATTTGTCAGGTTGCTGTGAAACAGTCATAATTAACTCAGTGGCACGTAACAAAAGCAACAAAGCAATTGAAAAATACTATAGCTTGGGTCAGGTACACCTTTGTCTTTAAAGTGGCATCCTTTTTCTTTAGCAATTTAAAAAGATCCTTTGCCTCAGATTTTATCCATTTCACCCATTACAACAGGCCGTTTGATTTCTTGACTGCCATTTCTATGGATGTTGATTGTGAATGCAAGTAAAATGAAACCATTGATAACTTCATTATGTTTTTATTGGCCCAGCTGTGAGGATTTTTGTTTTCTTTATATTGAGGTATGGAGGGTTAGGATCCAAAAACATTTTTTTTAATTTTTTTAATTATTTTTGTGTGTGTGTACTGTCAAATTGGATTTGTGTCCCTCCTTCTCTAGCAGAGCATCTGGTATATTCAAACCTCTCACCTCTGGGATTGCAGTTCAGCTTCTTGCCACTAGGCTACCAGAGCTCACCACTCCAAACACATTATTTTTATAGGGGACATAACTTATTATCTCACACCAAGGATTTCTCAGCTATATAGTCTTGCTTAGAGATGTAGTAGCTCTATACAGAGAACTTTTTAGTTCCCAAGGATTCATAACTATGGTCATGAAGAGTGTAGACGCCATAGATTGAATCTGGAGAAAACTGAACTTGGTCATTATTGAGGCAATTGAGGAAAATTTTCAGAACAGGGAACAACTGTGCTATTTAAAATGAGAAAGGCATGTGTCAGGGTTGTATTCTTTCTCCATACTTAATCTGTATGCTGACAAATAATTCAAGAAGCTGGACCAT